GTTTTTCTAATGCTTTTTTTCCTTATGTTTTCCCTTGGAGATATCAAGAATGTTGACTCTTGCACTACTTTTGCTGGAGGTCTATTTTAAGGCTTGTCTGCACTAAAGTTTTTACCTAATTGGTTGACAATTGACTTAAGATAGTTTGGGGAGTGTCCAGACTTACCTTTACAAAGTAGCAATCAATTTAATTCCTGAGATTGAATGTTTGTCTAGAGGTGTGGTGGGGTGTGTGTGTTTTTTTTGTTTTGTTTTGTTTTGTTTTTTTTAAGAGGAACCAGTCACATGGACTTGACCATGTCTATACTAGGAGTGGTTTGCCATTATATCTATTAAATGTGCAAAAAAACCTCCACCCCCAAACTTTAATGCAGAGTTAAGGTTGCCTGGTGATAACGCCCTACCAGCATATTGAGTTCAGCAAAGCTCAAACTTGTGAAAACTTGTGACACACGGGTCAGGGAGAGGGGCTCACACCACCCCCAGAGGGCCGCAGTCTCCCAGGACACCTTGTATCAGAATCACAGCTCTTCCAAGCTATTACAGCTTCCTCCGCCATTCAGTACAGTTATACCTAATACAGTGAATAAAGCTGGAGTACATGCAGATAATTCCCAGTGGCTATTGCCAGCTCTGAGGGGCAGAGTTAAGGTTGTGGGGGCATGAATTGATACCTGAACTTTAAAAAAAAAAAAAAAAAAAAAAAAAAAACCCCCCCCTCCCAAACCACAACCTCAGGCCACATTCATGCATCATGGAAAAAATAAAAAAGGGTACCTTTAAAGGCAGACTTAGTGTATATAGGTACAATATATTTTTTATGACTTTTTGAGTGGGCATTGTAAAGCTATAATATCTTCAACATTGTGGACTATCAAGTAAGCAGTAAATCTAACTAAAGAGAATAGTTATCTTTCGTGCACAGCAGTTACTTTATAATCCTAAATTAGGGCTGTCGATTAATCGCAGTTAACTCACGCAATTCACTCAAAAAATAAATCACTATTAAAAAAATTAATCGCACTGTTAAGCAATAGAATACCAATTGAAATTTATTCAATATTTTTGGATGTTTTTCTTCATTTTAAATGTATCTATTTCAATTACAACACAGAATACAAAGTGTACAGTGATCACTTTATTATTTTTATTAAATATTTGCACTGTAAAAATGATAAACGAAACAGTATTTTTTCAGTGTACCTCATACAGGTACTGTAGTGCAATTTCTTTATCATGAAAGTGGAACTTAAAGATGTAGGGGTTTTTTGTTACATAACTGCACTCAAACATAACAATGTAAAACTTTAGAGCCTATAAGTCCATTCAGTCCTACTTCTTGTTCAGCCAATCACTAAGAGAAACAAGTTTGTTTACATTTGCGGGAGATAATGCTGCCCACTTCTTAATTACAATGTCACCTGAAACTGAGAACAGGCATTCGGAGCTACTCTTGTAGCTGGCGTCGCAAGATATTTATGTGCCACATGCGCTAAAGATTCATATGCCTCTTCATGCTTCGGCCATCGTTCCAGAGAACATGCTTCCATGCTGATGATGCTCATTTAAAAAAAAAAATGCATTAATTAAATTAGTGACTGAACTCCTTGGGGAAGAATTGTATGTCTCCTGCTCTGTTTTACCAGCATTCTGCCATATATTTCTTGCTATAGCAGTCTTGAATGATGACCCAGCACATGTTGTTTGTTTTAAGACCACTTTCACTGCAAGGTAGTTACAGCAGTTGGCCCAAGATTTAAGAATCTGAAGTGTCTTCCAAAGTTTGAGGGATGAGGCATGGAGCATGCTTTCAGAAGTCTTAGAAGAGCAACACTTTGATGCGGAAACTACAGAATCCAAACCACCATAAAAGAAAAGCAACCTTCTGCTGGTGGCATCTGACTCAGATGATGAAAAGGAACATGCATCGGTCCACACTGCTTTGGATTGTTATTGAGCAGAACCCGTCATCAGTATGGACGCTTGTCCTCTGGAATGGTGGTTAAAGCATCAATGGACATATGAATCTTTAGCGCATCTGGCATGTAAATATCTTGCGATGCTGGCTACGAGAGTGCCATGCAAATGCCTGTTCTCAATTTCAGGTGACATTGTAATTAAGAAGTGGGCAGCATTATCTCCTGTAAATGTAAACAAACTTGTTTTTCTTAGTGTTTTGCTGAACAAGAAGTAGGACTGAGTGAACTTGTAGGCTCTAAAGTTTTACATTGTTTTATTTTTTTAATGCAGGTTTTTATTGTACTTACTTCTACATTTGTGAGTTCTCTTTTCATGATAAAGCGATTGCACTACAGTACTTGTAGTAGGTGAATTGAAAAATATTATTTTGTTTTTTACAGTGCAAATATTTGTAATCAAAAATAAATATGAGCACTTTAGACTTTGCATTCTGTGTTGTAATTGAAATCAATATATTTGAAAATATAGAAAACATCAAAAATATTTAAATTATATTCTATTATTGTTTAATAACACAATTAATCATGATTCATTTTTTTAATTGATTGACAGGTCCATATCCTAAATCTTGAAGCTGGGGGGGGGGGGGGGGGTTTGGGGAAAGGTGAAAAAAACCAAAAATATGTTATGTTCTAAAACAATTTTTTAGCTATCAGCAGTACAAAATAGCGTCTGGTTCGGAAGGTTTTATTTACACTTCTATAATTTAAAAGCATCATATTTAAAAAAGTAAATTGCAGCAGAGCCAAGACCTTGTACATGAAGTTTTAGCCTTGTAACAGTGTTTACGACTGAATTGCAAACTCCTGCAAATAGTAGCTTATAATGGAAATGCTGACAGATTCTTAATTATGGCTTTGCTACTGGGCACAGATATGATACTGTTATTCTGCAGTAAAGCAGTTTAGTTCAGCTGATTGTAAATCTTTATATGCGTTGTTGACAGCCCAAAGTAAATTCTACCCTGGGGTTAAATAAAAGTTCTTTAAAAGGAATCTGACAGGCAGTTTCTTTATTTCTAGTCTAAATATTGGTTTAACAATAGAATAAAGTTGGAACGGCAACAGCTTTCCTGGTCTGTTGCTTGCTGGGCAGTAATGGAATGCTATTCCTGTGCACTGTCAGAGTCTCAGTTGTGTATTTAATCTGCCTATTTTAAACAATATCCTGTATAAAAGTGAATTGAAAGAAAAAGATTTTGAACTGTCAATGCCTGAGTTCAAGGTTCTGTGTTTTTTCTGTAACGCTTGGTGACATCACTAATGGTGAAGGAAATTGAATTCAATATGCTATGTAGGAGTTTGTGATGTTGCTGATTATAGCAGGGGGAAAAGAAAATACTGAACCTCATGGCATGGAGAGCGAGTAAGAATTCATTTGAAAATGTGTGGATTTGGGTAATTAGCAGTTTCTGTTTTTGAAAAAGCATTTTGTGTCCTTTGATGCCACCCCTGACATGTGGTGTTAAGTTTGTTAAACCAGCAAATAGACACAGAGAAAAGCAAAGCTCTTGTCACTTATTCCCTTAAAAAGAAAAGTAGGTGGCTCATTGTATGAAGTTATTTTCTCCTGACAGGGTCGAAAAATCAGCCTTTTCTCTAAAGGGGCAGGACCAGGTTTCATGTTGCTAAGCCCTATGAACCAGGGAGGAAGCAGTCCTTTGTTTTCTCCAAGCTTTAGAAAGGAAGGATAGTCCAAGGGTTAGGACACTAGCCTAGTACTGGGGAGACCTGGGTTGAAGTCCCTGCTCTGCCACAGACCTCTTGTGTGACCTTGGGCAGGTCACAGTCTCTGTGCCTCAGTTCCCCATCTGTAAAATATGGATAATAGCACTACCCTACCTCACAGAAGTGTTGAGAGGATAAATACATTAAAGACTGTTAGATTCTCAGATAGTAAAGTAATGGGGGCCTTATAAGTTATTAAAATTGAGCCTCATTTAGTCTAGTTTCTGTTCAAAAAAGAGAGATCAGTCCAGCTCAGTCAGCAGCTTCTACAGAGGAAGAGCTCAGAGTCTGACGACTATTCATCCAGGTATGGCTACTGGGCTTCGTTCTGTTGCAAATCCCCTTAACTTGAGATTTTCAGGTACTGTCTATATCTCAAGTTGACTTAATTGAATTTGCCCCAATCTAAGGTCAGCTAAACTGACCGCCTCCAAGGTATGCAGGTGTTTCCTCATAAACTCTGATAACACTATGGTGTTAGTATATTTGATCTGTCTGGATAGCACCAGGAACCTCACATAGCTAAGTGGGGGGCATACTGCTGTTTATATGAATGTAAGGACACCTGCTATCAATAAGTCTGACGCATCTGGAGCCACCTACATTGCTAAGCAGAATGTTTATGATGGGGGGAGTTTTTACTTAGCAGGGACTCTGACCAAATGAGCATGGTGCTTAGAGTTGCCCTCCCTTAGGGAGCCATGTGGTAGAGGGATAAGTAGAAGAACATGGCATTCCATTTGTGTCCATGCCCCTATGGTCCTAAATCTTTTCAGGGTATGCCCACTGTAGGTAAAAAGGTTGGAGGTTTTTTACTGCGTGTTAGCTAGGAGGTAGTCTAAGGTTTATCTTGCCCAGCAAATGGATGTGAAAATTGGCACTAGGATTTTGCCACATGGTAGATACCATGTGTTAGCTAATATATGGTTTTTAAGGAAAAAAATTTTTTTTTTTTTTTAGAGAAGACAAGATCTCCGTGGTTAGTCTAGCCTCTTCCCTGGATGCCTGCTGAAGTACTATGTTCAGAACACAAGGTCTGTGCTGTGCAGGCACATAAAGAGAAGTTCTATTTCCATTTTCTGTGGCCGAGTCAAGATAGCCACCCTCTCCTAGAATTCTAGGATTGAGGGTGAGACTTGTAGATAGGGTGGTGTGTAGGCTAATGCAGGGGTTCTCAACCTTTTTCTTTCTGAGGCCCCCCCAACATGTGATTTTAAAAACTCCATGGCCCACCTGTGCCACAACAACTTATTTTCTGCATATAAAAGCCAGAGCCAGCATTAAGGAGTAGCAAGCAGGGCAATTATCCAGAGGTCCACACGACAGGGAGCCTTGTGAAGCTAAGTTGCTCAGGCTTCTGCTTCAGCCCCGTGTGGTGGGGCCCTTGGCCCTGGGATTCAGCCCTGCACGGCAGGGCTTAGGCTTTCTGCCCTGGGCCCCGGTGAGTCCAACACTGGTCCTGCTTGACAGACACCCTGAAACCTGGTGGAGAACCACTGGGCTAATGCATTGTTCATTCATATTGGAAGGAACTGAACTTGGAGGAAGCAGACTCTTGAGGAGGGTAAATTCTGTTATTTTAATTGATCATCATTCCTGCTTATATAATCAAATTGAAGAGGGTCCAGTGTAATAAGAGTGAGTCACACAGGAGTTCTAGTTGGAGAGTAGGGGCAGATAGTCAGCTCAGGTAAATTGTCATAATTCCATTGACTCAAATGGAAGTATGACACTTTACATTAACTGAGGATCAACGCTGATCTTTATTTCCTGGCTCATATGTAAGGGGACAGTGATGACTGGTACACCTATAGTCTGTGCTGTTTTGATCCGGTCACTGAAAGATAAGTGGGATTCTCACTAATCTTTCTGAGGGCAAATGTCTGCAATTTTCCACTGACCTTCTGGAATAAATCTAAATAAAGATCTGTCTCTCTTGTGTTTCCCCTCCATGCCCTCATATTCTAGGAGCAGAAGTTTCATGAGGAACAGGAGAATTTCTGGATGTTTGTCTGATATAAAATTGCAGCCAATCCAGACTCTACACACATCGCACTTATCAGGTGCTTTTTTTTTTGTATTGCAGATTACCTTTTATTTCATACTGAGAAGCTGGAAACATATAGCTTATTATTATTAATAGTAATTTATGCCTGTGTAATAATTTGAGAATTTATTGTAAAGAAAATGAGAAGCCTGACATTTTACAAGTAAAATATTCATATTTGTAGTGGGTGTTCCCGTGCCTGCCTGTAGACCTTACAACATTTCTTTGCCTAAATCTTTGTGTCATCCTTCTTGAGGGTAAAACCCTCATGAGCAAGGCTCCTGCCTATCATGCTGAGAGTTTTGGCTGGAAACTCGCTACACTTAGCCATTGAAGGTTAGCTAGGATGATGCTGTCACCTAGCGCCTAGTGTTGGCTGTACCAGAGACTATTAATTCCAGTACAGTCACTGAGTGATTCTTTGCTTTAGCTGTTGCTAGTTACTCAACTTCTCTGACATTGTCTCTGGTTGTGGTTACAAATTTCAGAAATTAAAATTGTAAAACATACGTTTTTCAGATATAAGTTACCTGAGTCTCCCAAATATTTATACTTGTATGTATTCACTCATTTTAGATCAGTTGTGCTTTTATTTTATCATAACTACTGATAAGTGCAATTGGAAAGAATAGTTTTGTGATAGCGTATATTACTATCTATTTCACTTTAAAATACGCTTATTTTCTTTCCATGCTTTTTTCGTTTAACTAATAGAAAGTTTTATGGGATTAAATTTTCTCAACAGAAGTATGTCTAATTTATTTTTCATAATTATTTTCATCCTTCAGGTTAGATAGTAGAGAGAAGGAACCAACATGAAACTATCATAAGAGGATACATTTGTCTAACAGACCCGCTACTTTTGTAAGGAACTTTTAATTCATGTTGCTCTTCTATTAATACAGGTTCAGTCAATAAATCCAGCAGCATATGTTCAAGTTCTTCTGAATCATTTCTACCTGGAATTTGCAAAGAATTAATTGGTTCAGCTTTGGATTTACTAGGACAGAATCATGAAGAAGAAATGAGTATAGCAGATAGTCTCCTAACTAATTTGCTTACTATTTATACTGGAGTAACTGGCATTTCAAATGCCTATGAACAACAAGATGAAGAAAGTCAAGATAATTGTAAGCTTAATTTTTACTAACATAAACAAAATATTCTACACTGATATTCGGTCATGTCTTACACATAAGTATAAATGTTCTTGCTTTCATTTGCAGACCTGAGATTGATTAATCTTCCTTTTTTTTTTTGTAGTTTTCTTTCTTGATCGTGCTACTCAGTCCTGCAGCATCAGAATTACCTCTGCTTTTGAACAACTTGTGGTTCTAACTGAGCATTGGCTTAATAGTTTCCAAAACTGCACTGATTCCCTAAAAATTGATGAATTGAGACAGGGTGTAAAAAACTTGGGAGGTTATTTACAATTACTGTTGCAGGTAAATTATATCCACCATATTTTCATATAAATAATTGAAAGAAAAATAATTAAAACTATATCTAGAGCTGTGTAATGTATATACTCTTATTATATTATTGGCCATAGACTTTGTAACAACAATCTGGCACACAATGCATATAATCACAAGCTTACTTGGTAAAAGATATGATAAAGATGCCTACAGCCAGTTTTAAATTAATCGTCTTCTCCATGAATGCTTTGCTGGATGAATAAGTATACAGCACTTTCCACAAGTATGCTCGGTGGTTATTCTTTTCTTTTAAATGATTGTCTCTTTAGATATTTTTTAATTTGATAGACTTGTCATTGTCTGTTCAGTGCCATTCTATATAAAGTTATTGATTATAGGTTTTTTAAACCCATTTATTATTTTTTCTATTCTATTCTAACATGTATTTGCAGTCATGATTTTTAATCCTGCTGTGTAATTGTAATAATTTTTCTGTATGTGGTCGCGAGGTTCATTCCATTTTTATTTGAGACAATGACTGAGCCACTTAGTAGTAATATAAGGATATGTTCTTCTTCGAGTGCTTGTTCACGTCCATTCCACATTAGGTGTACGCGCGCCGCGTGCACGAACGTCAGAAACTTTTCCCTCAGCGGCTCCCGTCGGGCCCGCAGGGTCTCCCTTCCCGCCAGAGCGGCGCCCCGCCCTCGCGTATATATATCCCTGCCGGCCCGACCCTCCCTCAGTTCCTTCTTACCGCCCGTGGCGACGTTGGAACAACTCTATCTCTCGTCTGAGAGTGTCCCTTAGCATAGCCATTAGCGATAGTTATCAGTTCATAATATAGTTAAGTGTTAAGAGTTTATTGTTAAGTAGTAGTAGTTAATCAGTTCCTCACAAAGACCTAAAACCTCTTTGTGATAGGTGTTTGGCCTGCCCCGGCACCGGCCCTGGGCGGCGGGGCATGCCGCACGCCCAAGGCTTCAAGGCTTGTGCCGCGTGCCGCAGGCCTATGCCATTGAGCGACCCGCACGAGTCGTGTCTCCGTTGCCTCGGGGAAGCACACCAAAAGGAGCGCTGTAAAATTTGTAAGGCTTTCAAGCCCAGGACTAAGAAAGAGAGAGACTTTCGCCTTAAACAGCTCCTCATGGAGGCGGCGTTACAGCCCTCCTTTTCCGCGGCACCGTCGACTTCGGTGCGGAGTGCCCCGGCATCGGTCCGCGATCCGACACCGGCCGTGCAGACTAAGCCTTCGGTGCCGTCACGGCGAGAACACGCCCGGCACCGGTCTTCTTCGCCGGCTAAGTCAAAGGGCCAACCCAAGGCCCGGGGTTGCTCCCCACATAAGAAGGTGGCACCGGCAAAGACCGCAAGTGCTGCCAAGGCCGTGACGGCCCCGATGCAGATCCCGGTGCCAGTGGCTCCGGCGCCGAAAGGCCCGTTGAGCCCCGGGATAAGCGCGTCGAGCGAGGAGGAAGGGCTGGAGGAACTGATGGAACAGCCCTCCACCCCGGACACATTTGAGGCGGCAAAGGACCTCTTGAGTTGTCCGCGGAAGGCACCCTCCGCGCTAAAGACATTCCGCCGTGACTGGCATCCAAGGGCAAGCCGGCGATGATGCGCCCATCTCGGTCGCCATCTCGGCACCGGACACGGCGCCGGTCCCGGTCGAGCTCCGCCTCGGTGGACTCCCGGCTTCCCGCCGCGCAGAGGGCCGCACAACACTCGGGCCCCAGCGCGCACGAGGCACCGTCCCAACAGCCCGGCTCGAGCAGGCACCGGGACGCTTCGGTGGCGAGGTTCCTAAGACCATCCTCCCGCAGCCGTTCCCGGTCCCGCGGTCAACGGTACCGTTCCAGATCCAGATCGGCACGGCGCTACTCCCGGTCCCGAAGGCGCCGCTCCCCGACCCCGGACCGGCACCGTCCCACGGCACCGCCGTGGCCCTCTAGGTTGCCGTCCGTAGTGTCGGAGGAGGACTCCGGCCTTTCGAGCAGATATGGATGCAGGGCGCAAGCCACTAGAGAGCGCGACGCCTCTTGGCCTCCGCACTGGAACCATCCTGGACAGTGGCCCTTCTGGACCCCGTGGACCTACCACCAGCAAGGCCCGCCGTCCAGAACTTCGAGATCAGGCCCCTCAGGACACCGGTCCCGCTCCCCACGGTGCCGAGCTGCCTCCCGCAAAGAGGCCACGGTCTCCAGGCCGCCAGACGCGGAGAGGGCTGACTAGGCACCGAGCCCGGCACCGTCCCATGCCCATGGCAGGGACCGCTCCCCGGAGGGCCACACACCTGATGAGGAGTTGCAGGAGGAAGAGGACGCACAGAAGGCCATGTCCTCCTCCTCCTCCTCACCGGACGAAGCCGTGGCGGGCACAACAGTGTCCGGCCCTCCCCCGATTGACCATTGGGTACACCAGGACCTGCTCCGGCGGGTAGCCCTCAATTTGGGACTACAAGCAGAGGAGACGGTTGAGCAGGAGGACCCGATGGTGGACATTCTGAGCCCGGAGGGTCCCTCCAGGATCGCGCTCCCGCTCATAAAAACGGTCCAGTCAAACTATAAGACCGTATGGCAAACGCCAGCCTCCTCTGCGCCAACTGCAAAGGGCGTAGAGAGAAAGTACTTTGCCCCGTCCAAGGGGTTTGACTTTCTGTTCTCCCATCCGGCCCCATGTTCGCTGGTCGTCTCGGCGGTTAACGAACGGGAAAGGCATGGCCAGCAGGCTCCAGCCCCCAAGGCCAAGGAAGCGAAACGGCTAGACCTGTTTGGCAGAAAAGTCTATTCGTCCGGAGGCCTCCGGTTGCGGATCGCAAACCAGCAAGCGATCCTGAATAGGCACAACTTCAACTCATGGGCATCAGTGTCCAAGTTCAAGGACTCCTTGCCTCAGGGCTCACAACCCGAGTTTGCTGCCATAGTGGACGAGGGGAAGGCGATGGCCAAAACCTCCTTACAGGCCTCACTTGACTCTGCTGACGCAGCCGCTAGAACAATCGCGTCAGGAGTCGTAATGAGACGCTCTGCATGGCTGCAGTCTTCTGGCCTTCCTCCGGAGGTACAAAACACCCTCCAAGACCTTCCGTTCGAGGGTTCGGGCTTGTTTTCGGAGCAAACGGACGCCAGACTACATAGCCTCAAGGACTCTCGGGCTACCCTTAAGTCTTTGGGGATGCACACCCCAGTGACACAGAGGAAGCCTTTTAAGCCCCAACCTCCGCAGAGGCAGTATCATCCTCGCCCTCGACAAGAACTGTACCGCAGACGGGGTAGGGATAACAGGCGTAGACGCAACAATACGCCTAACCAAGGCCAAAATCAGGGCCAAAACAAACCGCAGCAGGGAAACAAACCAGGGTTTTGAAGCTGCGATCGAGGACAGTGTACCCATCTCCTTTCCGGATCCACCCCTGTGTTTCGGGGACCGCCTGTCTCATTTCTACCGTGCTTGGTCCAGTATAACATCGGACCGTTGGGTCCTCCGCACGGTGGAGACAGGTTATACCCTCCAGTTCTCCTCGCCCCCTCCCTCCCACCCACCAACCCCGTCCCTCTTCAGGGACCCGTCTCACGAGCAACTCCTCATGCAGGAGGTACAGACCCTCCTTTCAGTGGGAGCGGTGGAAGAGGTTCCCCCAGACCTCAGAGGAAAAGGGTTCTACTCGAGATACTTCCTCATTCCCAAAGCAAAAGGGGGCCTCCGTCCTATTCTGGACCTTCGCAAGTTAAACAAATACTTGCTCAAACCACGTTTCCGTATGGTCTCCCTTGGTACCATCATTCCTTCCCTGGATCCGGGGGATTGGTACGCTGCCCTCGATATGAAAGACGCCTACTTTCACATCGCCGTCCGGCCCGCCCACCGGCGATTCCTGCGCTTCACTGTCAATCAGCGCCATTTCCAATTTACGGTCTTGCCCTTCGGTCTGGCAACAGCCCCGCGCGTTTTTACAAAATGCATGTCAGTGGTAGCGGCCTTTCTTCAAAAAAGAAGGATGCGCGTCTACCCATACCTGGACGACTGGCTCCTGGCGGGCCGGTCGGAGGCCGAGGTTCAATCCCAGGTGACATTGACGCTACGGGTGTTCCACGAGCTCGGTCTGCTGGTCAATATGCCCAAGTCTTCACTGGTCCCTACGCAGAGGCTAGACTTCATAGGGGCAGTCCTGGACTCAGTGGCGGCACGGGCAAGTCTTCCGTATTGCGGTTCCTGGCTATCCAGGACGCCGTGACCTCCATCCAACGTTTCCCCACGACCACGGTCAGATGTTGCTTACAGCTGTTGGGGCACATGGCGGCCTGCACACACGTGGTCGGATACGCCCGCCTCAGACTCCGGCCGCTGCAGCTATGGCTGGCCCGGGTATATCGCCCCAACAGAGACCCGTTAGACATGATCGTCACGGTCCCAGCTCAGGTGTCGAGCGCTCTCAGTTGGTGGCGCGATCAACAGCAGGTTTGCGCGGGGGTCCCGTTCGCAGCCCCACAACCAGTTCTGACGTAAGTGACGGACGCGTCGGACCTGGGTTGGGGGGCGCACCTAGGAGACCAGCGCACTCAGGGCTTGTGGTCCAGGGAGGAACAGTTGCTTCACATCAACCTGAAGGAGCTGAGGGCGGTTCGCCTCACCTGCCAGACCTTTCACGCTACCATAAGAGGACACAGCGTGTCGGTTCTGACGGACAACACTACCGCTATGTTTTACATAAACAAGCAGGGCGGGTCCCGGTCCTCTCCCCTCTGTCACGAGGCACTCCTCCTCTGGGACTTCTGCATAGCCCATTCAGTGCTCCTTCGGGCTGCATATCTCCCCGGGGTCCAAAACGGGCTGGCGGACCGTCTCAGCCGGTCCTATCTCATGCACGAGTGGAGGCTGAGGCGGGACATCCTCCGTTCAATCTTCCTGAGGTGGGGGTTTCCCCAGGTGGATCTGTTTGCCACCAAGGACAATAGCCAGTGCCCGCGGTTTTGCTCATTCCAGAACCGCAGTCCGGGCTCAATGGCGGACGCCTTTGCAATCCCGTGGGGCGGGAGCCTGAGGTATGCCTTCCCCCCATTCCCACTCATCCACAGGGTTCTCCTGAAAACCCGCAGGGACAAGGCGACAGTCATTCTCATCGCCCCGGCATGGCCACGCCAACACTGGTTCACAACTCTGTTGGAACTGTCTGTGACCACTCCGATAACCCACGACCTCATCACCCAAGACCGGGGTCGCCTACTCCACCCGAACCTGCCATCGCTGCATCTCACGGCATGGCTTCTCTCTGGCTAAGTGATGTGGAGCACAGCTGCTCTCAGGAGGTCCAGCAAATCCTCCTTGGTAGTAGGAAACCCTCCACAAGGGCAACCTACCTTGCCAAGTGGAAGCGCTTCTCCCTGTGGTGTGAGCCTCAGCACTTCCAGCCCTTGCAGGCCTCAATATCACTGATTCTGGACTACTTGCTGCACCTCAAGAGTCAAGGCCTCGCCCCCGCTTCTATTAAGGTGCATCTGGCCGCCATATCGGCGTTCCACCCTGGGGAATCGGGGAGATCCGTGTTCTCCAATCCCACTGTAGTCCGATTCCTCAAGGGGCTGGAGAGGGTGTTCCCCTACTCACGCCCTCCTACATCCCTGTGGAACCTCAATCTGGTCCTCACTAAGCTCATGGGGGCCGCCTTTTGAACCCCTGGCCTCTTGCTCCCTCACGCACCTTTCATGGAAGGTCGCGTTTCTCGTGGCCATCACCTCGGCTAGGAGGGTATCGGAATTGAGGGCCCTCACCTCGAAGCCTCCTTATACCGTCTTTTATGAAGATAAGGTGCAGCTTAGGCCTCACCCTAAATTCCTCCCAAAGGTGGTCACGAATTTTCACATGGGGCAGGACATTTGTTTACCGGTGTTCTTCCCCAAGCCCCATACGGACCCAAGCCATCGCAGCCTACATACCCTGGATGTTCGGCGGGCCTTGGCTTTTTATCTGGACCGTACCAGGCCTTTCCGTAAATCGACTCAACTGTTTGTGGCCGTTGCGGAACGAATGAGGGGCCAACCTGTTTAGACGCAGCGCCTGTCGGCATGGATCGTGCTTTGCATACGTACGTGCTATGAGCTCGCCAACATGCCTGCACCTCAGATGAGGGCTCACTCCACTAGGGCCCAAGCATCCTCGACGGCCTTCTTGGCGCAGGTCCCGCTCCAGGAGATCTGCAAGGCAGCCACCTGGTCGTCAGTGCATACCTTCACAGCCCACTGCGCGGTCCACCATCAGACCAGAGATGACGCGATGGTCGGCAGAGCGGTGCTTCAATCAGTTATTCTTTGACTCCTACCCTCCTCCAATGGTAAGCTTGTGAGTCACCTAATGTGGAATGGACGTGAACAAGCACTCGAAGAAGAAAAGACGGTTACTTACCTTCTGTAACTGTTGTTCTTCGAGATGTGTTGTTCACGTCCATTACACTTCCCACCCTCCTTCCCCTCTGTTGGAGTCACCGGCAAGAAGGAACTGAGGGAGGGTCGGGCCGGCAGGGATATATATACGCGAGGGCGGGGCGCCGCTCTGGCGGGAAGGGAGACCCTGCGGGCCCGACGGGAGCCGCTGAGGGAAAAGTTTCCGACGTTCGTGCACGCGGCGCGCGTACACCTAATGTGGAATGGACGTGAACAACACATCTCGAAGAACAACAGTTACAGAAGGTAAGTAACCGTCTTATATTGGTAATGCTTCAGGATAGTTTAAACACTGTTTTCAATTGCACATATAAAACATTTACACTTTTATTGCAGAAGTTTTCTAACTAAATTATTTTCATTTCTCAGGGTTGTTGTTCAGATATATCCTCAATGGTAACCGAAGCACACAACAAAATAATCCAAATAGTGAAACAGGCAGGAAAACATGTAGGACACTTGACAGCACTTATAGGATCTGACCTACACCTTTCTGAAGAGATCAAAGAAGATGCAACTATCTCACAGGTAAAAAACAAAATTTTGTTGGATACAACACCTTTCAAGATTAATATCAGAACTTTTTATGGACTGTGACTACTCCACTGGATCAAAATAAAGGTATCTTCTGAATACTATAGAAAGTATATTCTTCACAGTAGTAGTGTGAAGGCAAGATTTAAAATAATTTAAATGTCTACACTCAGATTTTCATAGTTGTACATTTAATACACTAACACAGTGTATCTTTGTCACATAAATGTAATATCTATAGCATAAAATTTGGTCTTCCATAGCACCTTTGGAATGCAACAGAGCATTTTTTAAAGTTAATGACTTAAACCCTGTTTATAACCCTAAGTCATTTAAGTGTACTGATATAGTTAAAATGGAACAACCTCCCTAGTGTGGCTGAAATTATACTGATATAAGGCATCTTTATATTTGTATAACTTATTGCCATATGGGACGAGGAATAAACTGTCCCAGTATAAGGCACCTTTATACTGATACAACCCTAGTATGGATAATTATAACTATTGTGGTAAAAATCTTACCTCTGACTAAAATAGATGTACTAATACAAAATGTGTGCATAGACCAGGCCTCAATGCAGTGATATAGCAGCTTTTATGTGTTCACACTGAGTCCTGGATATTAAAAATTGTTTTACCATGGGAAGGATAAAACAGGTCAATAGAGCTAAGTTTAAAAAAAAAAAAAAAATCAGGTTGAATCCTGTGCATGACAGCCTGTATGCAGAGTTTGAAATTAAAATAATTTGTTTTGTTTGTTTTTTGCCACTAATATTCTCATTGTAAAAGTCTGTTCAAAAAAGAATTCTCAGAAATCTGAATAAGAGCTGAAGATGCAGATTTCTCAAAGGGAAAGCATTATCAGAACCCTATTGACAACATTAGGTCTAAGTTGGGCATAAGGGTTGGTCTGTCTGTGTTGGTCAATTTGCCTAATATAACAAAATGTTACAAATTCATTGATGCAAATGTCCGTTTTTTAAACCATTATTTGAATATTAAATATTTTGAATATTTTTTTAGGAAGATTTTATACTTGCCATTTATGATGGAGTAGGTTCAGGACTGAAGAGTCTCTTGGATTCTGTACAGAAAAAAACAAGAGAGATGCAAAAAGAACTTTTGAAACAGTATCCACAAAATGAGGTGAGAGAGAAAGTTTGTGGCTTGAAGGTCAGAGTTTTTAGTGACAGCATAAAAGTATTAGCAGATATAACACATATGGGTTGGAAACTTCTACCTTGATTTGTGAAATCCTGGAGTTCATACAATAATAGTATAGACTGTATACGCATCTGTATTTATTATAGATAAAAACTCTGCAAGGTGTATCTTTGTTACTATAATTGGACCCTTTAAAGATACAATATCAACTTAAAATCTTGTCTGAAAATGTTTTGCCTACTATTATTATGAACAAAACTTAAAATTACTGTTAACTTGACACAACGGAGGGGAAAAAATATTGACGTAATCCTTCAATCAGTTCTCCACAGTTGGTCCCTTTTGCTCAGATGGGTTCCACTGAAGTATTTGGTGTATTTTCAGTGTTTACTTTGCGCATTTGACAGTGCTATTTGTCTGGAGTCTTACTGTATCCCCTGAGTATCCACTCAGCTTCCCTTGTTGTTTGTGGGGGTCTTTCACACACCAAGAAGGGGGACAGAAATTTAGTGGAAGGAGAAGGGAAAATATCACAAGACTTCAAAAATTGGCAGGGATACTCAAGGGCTGGTATGATACGTGAAACTATTTTTAACTTGTTTTTTGAAATTGACTACATTTCATAGTACTAATAGCAAGCACATATCTGCTATTACCGCACTTGCTGTTAGTGTTACAAAATCCTGTCTCTAGGCATCTTTAGAAGGTTAAGATGACAGTATTTCCTACATTCTGCTGTTATTTTAGCTCCTTTCAGCCTGTTATTTAAGCTTGTACCTAAAACTGAGTAAGTTTAGTATAGTCCCAGACTACTCACATGTTTAAAGTTAGGCATGCACTTAAGCACTATGCTGAATTGGGGCCTCTAAAAGGATAGTGACTTATTCCAAGCAAGCATCTAACAGCATGAATGCCAGAAATGTTGTTCATTTTCATGATAGCAACTGGAATCAGGAATAACCTTCAAAAGTTTTCTGGGTTGCTAAGCAGCATTGGTATTTCCATTTTAGCAGCTGCTTTATTAAGTTATAGGAATAAATACAGCAAATATATTTGACATTTTAATGAGTTGACCCTGCCACCTCCCCAGACACACTGTAATGTGAAAAGAAGTGACACCAGTGTTCTGTTTAACTTTACATAAGACCTCTGAATTTAATTATTCTTTATAATATAAGAGGGAATATTCATATTCACTTAGAGCAATAAAGGTAGTATTTTTTTTTCTGGTGGCAACTGATATTTTAATTATACATTAGGCATTAAAAGTTTTGCTTGAAAGCATATGTAACAGTATTCACACAATTTTTTTCAGAGCAATGTTGTTAAAAAGTTGGGGTTTGTATCTTTTTAAAAAAATGCAGGCTTTTTGGTTAAGATTTGTAGCAGAAAATCATAGCCTGACAATTTTAATTTAAGATACACAGTTGTCTGGGAAATGGTAGAAACAGTATTTTGTCACTTCAGTTAAAATAGTTCAAGCCCTTCTTGCATGCAGAGATTTTTTTTTTTTTAAAAGCAAATTGAAGAGAACCCACCTAACAAGTTTCTTTAAAATAAGGTGCACGGTCTTGGTATTCCCCTATTATATATATTTGTTAGGTAAGTCTAATAAGGAGATACATGGTAGGGAGAGTTGCATAAAAAGGAAGATAGAAACAAAGACTATACTCTGCAGCTAAATTTTTTCCATGAAATATGTACTCAGAAAAGAGTTTGAAAATTCAGGAATGCAAGTTACAGTAGTCCTGGGAAAGATGCCTCTTACACAGTGGGTAATTCATGTTGACAGTGAGTCTGGCAGCCTTACAAGTAATGTTTTAAAAGGATGAAAAGTTCTTTAAAAAAGTATTAGGCTGCACATAGTGTACATATTTCTTTTCAGCTTCGGGTACACATGCATTCTTGTTCCACCTCTTTCCTTCTGTGAATAAAAACTTGTATCTTGGACAGATAGTGTGCAAGGCAAATCCTACTCTTCACTTGTTTGAAGCTCTCTTGTCTTCTATTTACTTTGTATGGGTCTTTCCAGAGTACGACAGAGCTTGAATAATCTACTTGCTAGTGGAAAGTAAGAGAACTTCCTTGGCAAGTGGGGGGCATCTAGAGCATACAATTCTGCAAAACTTAAGTTTCCATTTTAAACAAAATGAACTATTCCTTATGCTTGTGCAGTAAACCTTCCAAACGTGACCCAGAGCAGTGCTCAATGGCTTCTTGAGCCACAAGAGAGAGCTCTTGGCTCTTATTAGTTCCACTGCTGCTGTTCTTAACTCTCTGGACAGCAGTGAAACTGGACCTGTGTCTTTTCAGTTTCATCGTTGTTGCTTGAGAAATGTGAGAGGAATGGTAAAAGTAGCCATTGGAGCTATTCCCAGTGGAGGAGAAGTCAAAAATGAAGACTAAGGTTGAGAAGTCAAGAAACCCACCCTCGTTCACCTAGGACCAACTCCCAACATCTCATCCACAACATTCTCTCCCCTTATTCTTTCCTCTTTTTTCACTACTTTTCTGTAACCAATCCCTTTGTCTTCATGTGCCCTACATTCTTTACCCTGCCCTTCTCCTCCTCAAAATTTCACTCATTCATAATCCTTTTCCTAGCTTTACATCCTCTTTCTGAGTGCAGGTGGCACACTCAAGGCACAAGAGGGAATGAAGTGGGGGCCAAGCCTCTGTTATGCCATAGGACAGGGGTGGGCAAACTACAGCCCGGGAGCCACATCCGGCCCTTCAGATGTTTTAATCTGGCCCTCAAGCTCCCGCCAGGGAGCAGGGTCCGGGGCCCAGGGCTTGCCCCACTCCAGCCGGGGTGCAGGGTTAGGGGCTTGCCTCCCCCCGCCTCCTAGATATAGGGGCAGCCAGGGGGTTCTGCACGCTGCCCCTGCCCCAAGCGCTGCCCCCGCAGCTCCCATTGGCTAGGAAATGTGGCCAATGGGCACTGCAGGGGTGGCGCCTGAGGACCAGGCAGCGTGCAGAGGCGCCTGGCTGTGCGTCCACCTAGGAGCCGGAGGGGGACATGCCGCTGCTTCCAGGAGCTGCTTGAGGTAAGCGCCACCTGGAACCTGGACCCCTGACCCCCTCCTATGCCCCTGCCCCAGCCCTGATACCCCCTCCTGCCCTCCGAACCCCTTGGTCCCAGCCCGGAGCACCCTCCTGCACCCCCAACCCCTCATTCCCAGCCCCACCCCAGAGCTTGCACCCCCAGCCGGGGCCCTCCCCCCCACACTCTAACCCTCTGCCCCAGCCTGGAGCTCCCTCCTGCACCTTGAACTCCCCATTTCTGGCCCCACCCTAGAATCTGCACCCCCAGCGGGAGCCCTCACCCCCTCCCACACTCCGGCCACCAATTTCATGAGCATTCGTGGCCCATCATACAATTTCTATACCCAGATGTGGCCCTTGGGCCGAAAAGTTTACCCACCCCTGCCATAAGGAGTCAGTGGCCATGGGTCCAGGGCTGCAATGAGTGCTATACAGCAGACCACACCTGGAACTAGGGATGCATTTTGAAAACTTCTTTGGTAGCCTTTGTTGAGAGAGCACGGCTATATCGATAAGAAATTGGAGAGTGAAATTGTTTAGCCCATGGCATAACTGGGGTTTGAAAACAAACCGTTTGCACAAAATATTCAAATACTTACAATAATTGAATCTATTTTTACACTAACTGGTGTAATCGTGCCTGTGTTTTCCCTCACAACAAGCCACACTCCCAGAGAGAAGGATTCACTCTGCCTGCCTCTCCCTCTCCACAACCCAGTGTTACACTGGACCTCCCACAACTGGCCCTGTTCCCAGGGAACAAATTAAATTTGAATTTTTAGTTTTTTGCCCAGGGTGGGGATTGAACAGCCAACCTGCTAAATGCTATTGTCTTTGCTTGTAGCAGAGACCTATGGAACCATAAGGGTCTTAGTTTCACTGGAGGGCAGTACATATAACATGAAGCATCAGAGAGAAGCCAAATGGCACTGCCAAAATCCTACCACTGAGAGTTACGATGATGGTGATACAATTAAAGTGGTCACTTCCTTTAGAAAAAGTTTAAGAATAGTGTCTGCTCACTTGCTCCTAGAATACAGTCTACTGTAGACTTATTCAAATTTTTGCATACGCAATACGAACACTATAAAGTGTTAACTTTTTTATGGAATGGTTGAGAATTATGATAGAAAATTCACTCTCCGACCATTGCTTGTGTTGTAATTCTTTTCTGAACACTTTCCTCCATAATCACGTGCTCATTGTCCTGTCTCTGGGATATAGTTTTACACATTTTTTTGTCAATGCTTTGAATAATGCATGCAAAATAATAATTAAAATTCCCTTTTTATAGGTTCAAAATCAAATAAAGAATAATGCAGTGTCTTTCGCCAGATCCCTTGAAAATACAATATCTAACTGCAAAAAGGTAAGGGAACCATTCACAAAATTACATTGTTTAAATGTTAACTTCAAAGGGTTTCTTGTTTAAAAGTTTAACAAGAAAGAGGAATAAAAATTACTACCTGTATGCATTGTGGACAAGTTAATCTTGCTGTAAGAACTTTACATTTTGCATTTCTTTACTTAATTATCTTAACTATCTTATGGTTGTATAAATATAATTTTTGTATTTATTAGAACAGAATTTGGTTCATTCTTCTGCTTTACAATTTTTAAAGTAACCCTCCATGCTACTTGAATTCTTTGTGTGTGTCAACAAAATGGTGAGGAACAAGATATAATTTATTCAGACTTTTTTAAAAGCCTTGACAAAGTCCCTAAGAAGAAGCTAGTAAGGAAACTAGGTGGGTGTGTGGTCAGAAATAAAGTATTATCGTGGCTTAGAAGCTGGTTCAATGACAAAAGAAAACTAGGAATAAATTGTCACTTTTCAAAATGGCAAAATTAAGTGAGGTGACCTAAGGTTCTTGGGTTGCCTGTTAATAATCTGATAAAATGGATGATGTAGAGGTGGCGGAATTTGTTGTTGGCAGAATTTTTGAGGCTATTTCCGACTAGAAATGAATGAGCATCTCCAGAGGGACTTAGTTTTCACCATTTGAGTATTGTGTTGTGGATTGAAATTCAGTGTTGACAAATGAAAGATAATATACATTAGCTGGAATAACTTGAATTGCTCATAGATGGTTTTTGAGTTCTAAATTGACTGTAATGACTCAAGGAAAACACCCAAGGAGACTTTCGAAGGGCAGATAGGCACCTAACTAGTATATGTGCCTTTGAAAATCACCCCCTCCCCCTATTGCACTCTGGACAGCCCAATGAATGCATCTGCTTGTTGTTCTGGTCGTCTCACCTCTGAAATCATACAACAGAAATACAAGTGATTCAGAGACCGACAAAACACTGTCAATTATAAATTAAAGATGATATTCCTTTTATTTTCTATTTGGTCTATCTGAAATCATTGATTTACATACAATTTAACTTGTCAAACACATTTTTATTTATTTCAAAGTGTTGTGTTAGATACTAGTAGTACATTCATTGTGTAGGCAATAGCTTACAACCTTGACTATTAGCACCATGATTTACTTTGAATCAAGAATGGAATATTGACCAAGCTATCGGAGTTATCTATCCCTTGAATGTCAAAAAATGTTCTAGGATCTTACAGCTCCATCTGGTGATTTTAAGACTGACAGAAATTGCAACTCTTGCCAAAATTGTATTTTGAAACTTCTTCAACAACCCAACATCCCCATAATACATTGCAACAGTGAAGTGCAAAACTATGAACGCTGGTGTGAAATTTGAACCCATGACCACATTTGCTATCAGAATGCTAACCACTAAGCATTACAGATGTATCTTATAGCTTTCAAATAAATTGCTCTTTATTAATACAGAGAGAAATGGGAACTCGATTAACAAAAGAAGAATCTGCCCACCAGGAACTAAAGAAGGCAACTAATCTTGCTTCTGAATACTTGGAATTAGAGCAGTGCATAGATAAAGTCTGTCAGATCATTACTACTTCATTGCAAGGTATGTGTCTGAGCTGCTGTGTGTGTTGTACCAGAAAATTGTACACTAAAGGAGACCTGCGAAGTGAGAGGTTTGTGCTCTTATTTGCTTCTTTATTTGGTGTATGTTGGAGGACAGAAAGAGTGGTGGTTATTTTTAATCTGCTTGGTTTTTTTAGGTGGTTCTTCGAGTAGATGTAGACATGTATTCCACTTAGGTGTGTGCGTGCCCAACGCACCAGAGCTGGAGAAATTTGCCTAGCAGCATCCATAGAGGGTTGGCTTTTGTGCCTCGTGGCCATAGCCTCTCCCCTGGCTACATGAGGCAATGCTGCCCCGACCATCCACTGTTCCTTCTTCCCGCCTCTACCTGGAGTCATAACTCTGTGTGATCTTAACTTCACAACCTCTCAACTAGTTTTGTTTTTCCCCTTGAATATAGTTAGTAGTACCATTAGTGTTAGAGTAGTGTTCATTGTAGTAGTTTTTCCCCTCGGTGTTGTCCTCCCTGGGGTTTAAACATTATCCTTCGTGTGGGGGGTGATCCCCACCTGTGGTTCTTCCTCTGCCTTGGCATTGCATGACTTGCAGATCGTTTAAGAAATGGACTCAAGTGGCTCACGACCTTCGCCTGAAGCAGCACCTGCTCAAACAGGCCATATGGCCTGCTTCAGAATCGAGGTCTTCATTGGGTCAGAGATCACCTTCAGGTTCCAAGAGTGCTGCTGCTTCACATTCCAGGGCAGGCTCTTCTTCAGAGACACAGATGAGCCATTCCCTGTCGACTGCGCTGAGGAAAAGTTTGCATAAGACCAATCGAAACCACTCCAGGTCTCCGGATGACTCTTCTGCTTCCCCCAGGAAAAGTGTGGCCCGACATGGAGTTGGTGCTGGTGCATGGGATGGAGCAGATACCTCTAATCCTTCCTTGGTACCAAACAGGAAGGTTGGAAGCCATGTACTGTTGACTCCAGTTCTGGCCTCTGGGCATCCATTGAGTACAGTACCAAAGAGGCAGATGCCAGTACTGTTTCCATGTTGGCAGCGTACCAGGCAGTTACAGACTTCCTCCACCTTTTGGTTCCGATCTCTCCTTTGGTCCAGGACTTTGCCAGAACTGTCATCTATAGCTCTGTTGATCGAATGAGCCGCTGAACCCTCTGGTCTGTCTGCACTGCACCCCAATGTTCACCTTTCACAGGTTATATAAGCAGGGCTGGTACCGGCTTCAGTACGGGGGACGTCACTACCAGGAATGCACTGCTGCATTCAGCACTGCAAATGCTTCTGTGGTGCCTTTCACTGCCCTCAACATCAGTACTGTCAGACACTCAGTACTGCTGCTTGCTTCCAGCACTGGCATGCTTGGTATTGATGGCACCACTTCTGTTGGCACTGCCACTTTCTGCCTCATTCTGGGCAATGAACAAATCAGACCAGATACTTGCGCCCTCTGGTCTCACTCCGCCTTGATCTCAAGGCTCCTCTGCATCTGAGTTGGGATCGTTATCCTCCTGCTCTCCATCACCTGACCAGCATTGGGGGTCGTTGATGGACCATTATGGGTACCAAGATTGGCGTACGTCCCGTGGTTGGGATGAAGGCATATGGCCCAGCGTCTACTGGCCACCAATGCCTTATCCATGTCAGTGGCCTCCATGGAATCTGTGGGATGCCCCTCAGTTGCGGAGGTCCTGCTCTTTGCCTTGCTTAAAGGTGAGATTGCTGGCCAGGTCTGTGGTGGTGACCGTTGATCTGCCACAGGTCCAGGCACTGGCAGTCCCTCTCCCTGTGGACCCTCCAGAGTTGTCCCATCCAGGGCCTCATCTTCATCTCCGGACAATTCTGTGCTGCCCAGCTCATCCTTCCCTTCAGTACACTGCGGTCTTTGGGGGTGGCCATGCCAGTAGTAGCAGCAGCAGTATCGTCCATAGCGTACATTTGGCCAGGCTTTCCCTCCTTTGAGGCACTAGCACTACCCCAAAAAGAGGGACAGGAGAAAGCAGTCAGGCTTGGGGTTCAGCCAGTCCACATGCCCTCCTGCCAGTGCTCTCCAAGTACTCATTTTGTCTCCTTGGTGCAGAGCTCTGTTCCTGTTGTTGCCCCTCCCTCCTCATACAGGCTGGCCTGCTTTCACAATGTTTGGGGCTTGACAGAGCCAGCTCTAGGTTTTTTGCCCCCCAAGCCAAAAAAAAACCCCCCCCAAAAAACCCCACTCCTGGAATGTCGCCCCTGGAATTGTGCTGCCCCAAGCACATGCTTGGTTTGCTGGTGCCTAGAGCCGGTCCTGGGGCTCAATCACCACTGACAGCTGAGTCCTAAGCACACTCAGATCAGGTTATGCCATCCAGTTCCTCTCCACACTTCCACCTCACCCACCCTCCCTGTCCCTCTTCAGGGTCCCCCTCACAAGATAGTGCTCCTTGAGCAGGTCTGCTCTCTGCTGGCTTTGGGAATGGTGGAAGAGGTTCAGCCGGAACACCAGCGTCATGGCTTCTACTCCAGGTACTTTCTGGTACCCAAATTCAAGGGAGGGGTAAGACCCAACCTTGACCTTTATGGCCTCAACAAATATATCAGGTATATGAGGTTCTGAAAGTCACTCTTATTGACTATTCTCCCTGTGTAGTCTCAGAATGACTGGTGTGCTGCTCTGGACCTTCAAGACGCCTACTTTCATGTGGCAGTTTTGCCAACCACAGAAAGTTCCTTCAATTTATCGTGGTAGAAGACCATTGTCACTACACAGTGCTTTCATTTGAGCTCTCTTCTGTACGCCAGGTTTTTACCTAGTGCATGGTCATTGTTACAGCATATTTCAGGAAGAAGGGAATTCACATCTTCCCATATGTGAACAACTGGTTACTGAGGTGCAGATCCAGAGAGGAAGTTCTTGCTCACATCAGCACCCCACACTATGCTTGCTTGACTGTCTGGGTTTCATACTAAACATCTGGAAGTCAACCTCTGTTCTCATTCAGAAAACAAAGTTCACTGGGGCCGTGTTAGATTCTGTGATGTTGAAAGCATTTCTACTGACGACCGTTTTCAGACAGTTTGCTATCTTTGCCTCAGTCTGCAGTCTCAGCCTTCCATGATAATTCAGACGTGTCTGAGGCTTTTGGGCCATATTTGCACTTGCACACAGGTAGTCCAGTTTGCAAGGCTGTGCCTTCACTCCCCTTCAATTGTGGCTAAGAGTGATTTACTGTCCTAATCTTCACCCTCTAGACAGACTGGTCAGTCTTCCTTTACGGTCCTAGACTCCTTGCAGTGGTGGATGTGTCCAGAGAATATTTGCCAAGGTGTTCCCTTTGTCTGGTCCTTGCCAACCGGATCGGTTGTTACTAACACCTCCCTGATGAGTTGTGGGTGGTGCACTTGGGGGTCCCTGAAAGTGCAGGGGCTATGGTCAGAGCAGGAGGCCTCACTCCATATCAAATTGCTGGAGCTTCAGGCCATCTACAATTTATGTCACGCTTTGTGAGACTATATTAGAGACTTAGTGTGGATATTTACATCGTGATGCTATTGTCTTTATTATGTGCTGCAAGCAAGGGGGAGCACGATGCAGGTTGCTCTGCCTAGAGGCAATCAGGCTGTGACTGTTCTGCATCAAGGAGAACATTGCTTCGATAGCTGTTCACTTGCTTGGGTTCAGAATTATCTTGCAGACCATCTCAGCAGGTATTTTTCCCTGAGTCACAACTGGTCCCTGAAGACACATCCTGGGTCATCTTCCTAGCTTGGGACATTCCAATAATTGACCAGTTCGCTACAAGGGACAATAGGAAACATTGTCTGTTCTGCTCTCTAGAGGGCGTCAGTCCAAGCTCCCTGCCAATGCTTTCCACCTCATCTGGCAATTGGCTCTCTTGTAGGCTTTTCTCCTGGTCATCCTTCAGGTCTGCTCAAGATCAGGCCAGGTTCATTCTCAATGCCCCGGCATGCTACCAATGCTGGTTCTTCTTCGACTGCTTACTCATGTCGATTCCAATTAGGTGTGTGCGTGCCACGTGCACAAAGTGGAAGGTTTTTCCCCTAGCAGTACCTGTTGGGTCGGTTCAGGCACCCCCTGGAGTCACACCTCCATGGCGCCATATATAGGGTCCTGTTGACCAGCCGCCACTTCGGTTCCTTCTTACCTCCTATGAGGGTTAGCCGGAACACTCGTTTTTCTCTTGGCTCGGCAAGCTTTCTCCCTAGTGGTCCTCAATTGTTCTCTGTAAATAGTTAAATTAGTTAGTAGTTTTAGTTAGTTTAGTCATAGTATAACACTGGTTCTCCACTTGCGAGGTACTCCCTTCTCTTCATGTGTCATTATATAATGTCTGCATCTGTAACTTTCACTCCATGCATCTGAAGAAGTGAGGTTTTTTTACCCATGAAAGCTTATGCCCAAATAAATCTATTAGTCTTTAAGGTGCCACAGGACTCCTTGTTGTTTTTGTGGATACAGACTAACACGGCTACCCCCTGATACTAGAATCATAGAATATCAGGGTTGGAAGGGACCTCAGGAGGTCATCTAGTCCAACCCCCTGCTCAAAGCAGGACCAATTCCCAACTAAATCATCTCAGCCAGGGCTTTGTCAAGCCAGGCCTTAAAAACCTCCAAAGCAGGACCAAGTACTGATTTTTGCCCCAGATCCCTAAGTGGCCCCCTCAAGGATTGAACTCACAACCCTGGGTTTAGCAGGCCAATGCTCAAACCACTGAGCTATCCCTCATCCTAACCAGTCATAGTCATACTAGTCATAGTATAGTTAGAATTCCAGTAAGGAATTGTTCTAGCGGTTACCCCCCCTTTTTCCCTACCCTCCCCGACCACCATTCCCTGGCGTTTAAACCCTGCGCAGCTTGTAACACGCCGATGCCCAGGAGTAATCCTCACACTTCCTGCTTGAAGTGTCTGGGGGAATTGCATCAGAAGGACCATTTTGCAAGATTTGTAAGGGATTCTGCCCCAGGACTCAAAAAGAAAAAGACCAATGGTTATAAATCCTTCTGATGGAGGCCACC